TATATATAGTATAGTACAGTTAGTGTGTGGTGCATGCATATATATATATATATATATACACACTCTGGACACTGAGTATTTAAAATCAACTGTTGCGATGTAGACAGGACTGAAAATTTTCTTTTCTTTTTTACTTTCTCTTTTTTTTCCCTTTTGTTAAAAGAGAAAATCAAAATCTTGTAAAATAAATAAAATAAATAAATAAAACATCAGTGGTACACCGTATAGGTCCAGCAGTTTTTAACCATGATAAGCATTTCATGATCCTTCCTCTTGGTCCTCTGCATATACAATAAACTGTGTTTTCAGCTTTTGGACCAAACAGCTTTTGCCTGTCAGTGTCAGCATATGGGTGGACCCATGCACGAGAAGCTTACAGCAAAAATAAAACATCCATCCATTACCTTTACTTGCTTCCCATCACTGTGCGAGAGGCAGAGGACACCCCTGGACAGTTTGCAACTCAAAGAATAAACTCAAAAAATTGAAAAAATGTTTTTTTGTTATCTTCATAAGCTGCTACAATCTAACCTGTTTACACACAGGTGTCTGAATGTCAACAAGATATTTAAGGATAACACTGGTTCAATACCATTTCAATAAATGTCTTAATCTAAAGGTCAAATTGTGTTGGAAATAAAACAAAATCAAATAAAATGCTTACAGGTTATTGTGGAGGATTAGTTAAGAACTGGCTATTTGAATATTTATTCTTTAATTTGCACAACTTAAATTTGAGAAGCTTTAATTACTGTATATAACAATAAAATAAACTTTGTTGTCATTCAAAACTGTGCAGTGCGCCATGTCAAATTTAACAAAATGTCCTTTCATTTCTCCACAGCAGTGTAGGAGTACATCATTTACATACTTTTATAGACTTTGGTGTTCAGGAATGTCCGTGTGTGTGTTTGCTGGTCACCTCATTAGTGACCTGAGTTCTGCAGTCTAACAGCTCGTGGGATGAAACTGTTGCAGAACCTGCTGGTTCTGGTCCTCAGGCTGCGGTACCTCCTGCCAGAGGTCAACAGAGTAAACAGTCCATGTTGTGGGTGGGAGTTGTGTTTTTTAACTATTTTAAATTGTTAATGGCGTATTTCCTTTGTCAGTGTCACTAAACTGAACAAAAGTGTTTTGGGGGCCTGAAAATGAGTCATATACTCATGATAGAATATGTCAAACCTCGTGCATCAAAACTGCAGCCTAACCATACAAATCTTTAAATAATCATTTAAACCTCAACTTTAATTAATTCTTAATCTTCATTAGATAAATCTTAATCTTCCCTCTGTTGTTTCTTCCAAAACACAAACAAACGTATCAAGTTTTAACTAATGGATCTTTACATCTGCAAACTTTAATTTTTTTGTTTTCTGATTAACTCGATTTACTATGGTGCATATCGTTAAACACTGCAGCTCTCATGAATACAAACAGAATATCAGCACGATGAAAGTAAGTTATTTAATTTGGGGACGTTTTCCAAGGTTTCAAGTTGACCAAGTCCAGTCTGAATTGTTCCTGTCAGGTCAGTGTGTCAAAGGCCTGTTTTTATCACCTCTGTCAGACAAATGACCTCGGTGCTGCATCACTTCTTTCTCCTCCATTGCCCTTGGACCAGAAGTTCAGTTCTGATCACGTCACCTTGAAGAAACTGGACCGACTTTAGCCACGCCACCTTGAGAGGTCAGACAGTCCTCACCAAGTGTTCTCTCTGCATGCAGGCAAACGTCACCTCACAGACTCAAATTTCTCTTTTTTTCCTCTCTCAGCTTCAGCTCTGCTGCTCAAATGCCACGCTCACGTCGACTGACCACTGTCCAACCTGGAATGAACAGAGCGTTGGTATCAGACATGTCTAAGTCTCTCAAAGCGTGTCAGTATTATGGTGGCCTCTGCTGAGAAGTGTGGGTCACCGTCAGCAGTGAGTGACAATGTTCTGAGGTTGCTGTTTGGATCTTCTGAGCCAGACTTTCCTCAACCTGAAGCTCTGAGTCACAGGCTTTCCTCAGATTCTCTCAAAAAGTACAAAACAGAAAAGAAGCAGCTTCAAATAAGGGTTTCTCTGAAGTGCAGAAAATCCAAATCCCCGTGTCAGCGAGCGTTTTTTGTCTGCCAGCTTCAAAGCTGAGTTAAACAAAATGAAGAAAAAATTTAATGTTATGCAGTAACACTAATGGATCACTTTAGTAATTGAGGTCTGCGGGAGATCTCTTCATCACCATTTCAACTGTGTCAGGATCACTCATTTACTTTTTTAACCAGATTTTCAAGGCCCTTTTACTTTGTAGATCAAAGTCTCATTTGCAGAAGGGACCTGGGCTAAACACTTTTTGCATCACAAGAGTGTGGGATAAACAAAACAACTGGCTTAAGCATAATGCTTGAAACAACAGTAAAAAAAAATAATTAAAAAAGCAAATACATAAACAAGCCTTTAATATGTTCAATAAGGAAACAACAATAAAAAAACCTACACATTATACAACTACATGGGGGTGCTTATTTACACCAAAAAAAAAAAGCTAAATAAAAGGGGTGGTGTGACTGAATAAGTCTTTGACTGGTTTCAGTGGAAGACTGGGACGTTGTCCTGGGAGAGGTTCTGATTTAATATGGCAATTGCTCATCAAGCTCCAATTCTCCCACTTACAGGCTGCTGAGAGTACGACAGTAAGAATGTAGTGGCAACAGTTCAAAAGGGCATATCAAACATCGTGCACTGCTGACTCAGCAAGCTAACAGTAATGTGGTGCTGTGTTACATGTTGAAGAACGGAGACGCTCACTGTTGCTCTCATGTCTGTTTGTTAACAGGTAAATGTGCACAAGTGTCTATATTATTATATTATGTCTATATTCTGATTTACCTCATTTTGTATTTTGCTTTGTGTGTTGCCTGCTTTTCTGTCTGTACAGCGCTTTGGTTGGCCTTGTTGCTGTTTTAAGTGCTCTATAAATAAAATGGTATGGTATGGTCAATGGTAAGTGACACAAATATAGCAATGCATGAGATCGCTGAGAAGTCCATGAGAATGTGGTGAAAGTTGGCTGTTTATCCTCATTCATGTTGTTAAATGTTAGGGGAGTGGTGGCGCAGAGGCAAGAGAAGATGGGCCTGTGATCGGAAGGTCACTGGCTCAACTTCCCCGACTGACAACATCAAAATGTGAGTGGGAAAGATGAAACACCCACACCTGCCTCCACCCTCATTTGCCCCACTCTAGGCCCTTGAGCAATGAATAAGATAGCATCTACGCTAATTTTACTGACCTGTGGTGTTGGGACTTGCAGGATAATGCTGCCATAACTGTTTGTGTGTTAGTAGAGTTAAGCTGTAACTGAATAATTTGCTATTAGAGCCAAGTTAGGAGTGTTTATTGTATGTGCAGACAGTTAGCAGAAATTAATTGCTGTGTTGGCTGTTCAAGAATGAAGCTCATTGTTGCTCTCATGTCTGTTAAGTCATCAACAATAAAGAAAAACCTGCAACGAACATACTGATTCATTATTCAAGTGTGCAACAATGGTAATTTTACTGGACAAAGTTAAACAAACACAAATTAATTTTAAAAATCAAGTTCTGCCCAGGCAGCACGGTGGCACAACTGGTAGAGCTGCTGCCTCTCAGCGAGCAGGTCCTTGGTTCAAACCCCGATCCAGGGGCCTTTCTGGGTGGAGTTTGCATGTTCTCTCTGTGCATGTGTGGGTTTTCGCCGGGTACTCCGGTTTCCTCCCACAGACCAAAAACATGCATGTTAGACTGATTGGTAACTCTCATTTGCCTCTTGGTGTGAGTGAGAGAGTGAATGGTTGTTGTCCCTGTGATGGACTGGAGACCTGTCCAGGGTGTACCCCGCCCCTCGCACAGTGATTGCTGGACATGGGCACCGGCGACCCACCGTGGCCCAAAAATGTCCAACTGGGAGGAAACCCCAGGGAAGACCCAGGACACGCTGGAGAGACTATGTTTCTCGTTTGACCTGGGAAAGCCTTGAGGTCCTCCCAGAAGAGCTGGAAGAGGTGGTTGTGGAACAAGATGTTTGGGCCTCCCTGGTCAAGCTGCTGCCCCCGCGACCCAACTTCGGAACAAGCGGAAGGATGGATGGATGGATGGATGGATGGATGGATGGATAAACTTTGTGGGAAAAGGAGAAAAAAAATATTTTGCTGGCTGTTCATAAAAACTGTGTAGATCTCTTCGTGTGTGTTTCATTTTACAAATACAAATTTTGACTGGATATTTCTTCCTCTCAGCTGATTGGTCAATGTCACGTCAATCACAAATTTAACAATCCAATCAGAGAACAGACGTGTTGGGCTGTCCAAGGGGGGGGGGGGGGGGGCACTGAACCATAATTCCTGGAAAGCATTACTATATGGTTTAGTGGAACAAAACCAAAATCTTTGTCCAGATACATATTTCTGAAAATCATGTTCAGCTACTATGGATAGTTTTAGGCTACAAAGGCCTCCATGTTCAACTGTCCCACTTTTCCAATGCTGTTATTGTGAATATCACAGCCCTCTGTGAATAGTAAGTGGCCATCAGGGCACTAACGATCAATTGGCAGGCTCCTCCTTTTGCATGTGAACAGCTAGTTTTGACTGTCAGCAGCAAACCGGTTGATCCAATATGAGAAGGCGCTGTTTATAAGACTGAGTTTGTTGCAGCTCCTCAGAGAGAAGAAGTCTTTTGGATAAAAGATGCAACGTTTCAATAAAAAGAATCCATCCAGAGGACCTGACTCAATCTTGTTAAATGCATCTACCTGAATTATTGAGCATGTATCTGGACAAAAAAATGTGTTGTTGTTTTTTGTTTGTTTTTCAATGGTCAAAGGTCTCCTGCTGTTTGTTTTTAATGATGTAACAGAGGCAAATCCCAGATGTTAAGACGAACGTTTTGTGAAGGTTAATGATTACTAATATCTTTTTTACAAACAGAAAACTCTGAACTCCAGTTTAGACTTTAAAAAGTGTTCAAGAAAGAAATCAGTCATGAACAAGCTCATTGTAACAGCAGGTAAGAAATTACTTTTGTGTTTTTTCGTTGTTTTTTTTAACTGAAACTAACATTTTCTGGTTAAACATCTGTTGTTACAGGCCTCTGTCTGCTTCTGAGCAGTTGGGGTGAGTACATTAGCCTCCGTGACAGTAGTGCATTTGGCACAAAGTCAAATCATAACTAAGTTTTCTTACATGTTCAGTGTCTTCCTATAGACTTGTGTGTTATTTCACCAACTGGTCCCAGTATAGATCGGGTCATGGGAGGTTTATTCCTTCAAACATCGACCCAGACCTCTGTACCCACCTGAACTATGCCTTTGCTGTTGTTAATGAGGCAAATGAGCTGGTCACTTTCGAACATAATGATGAAGAGCTTTATAAATCCTTCAACGGACTCAAAACCAGGTCAGTCTTTCTGACAATAACAAACAAAACAAAAAAAATGACAAAATATTTAATCCTTGGTGTTGATAGAGCCTTCGTATATTCCCACAGAAATCCCAATCTTAAAACACTGCTGGCAGTCGGAGGCTGGACCTTTGGAACAGAGAAGTGTGACGTTTTAACATGACGCAATCAAAAAGGCTTGTTATGTACGTGTCACATTTCTGTCTAATAACTGCTTCTTTCTTTTTCTTCTTTCAAACTTCTCAGATTTACAACCATGGTATCAACAAAAGCCAACAGAAGTAAATTTATTCAGTCGTCTCTAAAGTTCTTAAGACAACATGGCTTTGATGGACTGGACTTAGACTGGGAGTTTCCTGCAGCAAGAGGAAGCCCTCAGGAGGACAAGCAGAGATTCACAACGTTCTGCAAGGTCACATGGAAATAAGCAGAAATTGCCTTTTTGTATGAAAATGTAGTATGGACACAGTGCTGAATGACTTGGCTGAAATTTGCTGAAGAAGCTGAAAATGAGTTGCTAAAGCTAATAGAAGCAAAATGCCATAAAAAGTGAAATGTAACAAAATGCTAGCAAACAGATTAATGTGGTTAAAGCTAGCTCAAAAAGCAAAACAATAGCTAGAATCTAAAAGTAGCATAAGGCTTGTGTTTATATTTATTATTACTTTTATTTAACCAGGCAAATCCTAATGAGATCATAGATATTTTTGGCCTAAAGGCAGCCTAAACATGTTTTTTGGACTGTGAGGAACCTGATGTACCTGAAGAACGCCCATGTAAACCTGAGGAAAACATATAAACTCCACACAGAAAGACCCCAAGTCCAAACCGGGGTTGAACCCAGGATCTTCTTGCATCAACGGTGCTAAACGCTAATCGATTAGGCTGCCCTAAAAGTAGCAAACGCCAAAAAAATGTTGAAATTAGGAGAATGGTGGCAAAAAAGTCAAGAGCAAGTATGCTGAATCAGAATTCAAGAATCCTGTTTTGAAAGAATCAGAGATGCTAATGTATTTTTTACTGGGGAAAATTATGTTTTAAATATTTTGATAATTATAGCTTTCAAAAATCAAAACTCACAGCTCTAATCTTCTGAATGAGTCAGCATTCACTGAGTTATTGGTCGATGCTCAGCTGATCTTTACCACGATCCATGAAATGACTCTCTTGACTGTGTGGGTTACAGGAGCTCTTTGAGGCCTTTGAAGCTGAAGTAAGATCACCTGGACAGCCCAGGTTAATGATCACTGCTGCAGTCTCCGCTGGGAAAGAAACCATTGACGCTGGATATGAAATTGCAGAGATTTCAAAGTACGCTAGTAATTTATTCTTCATGTTCATCATCATTCTGTGTTTATTTAGGTGAATTTGAGCTGATATTTACACCCCTTAAGGTATCTGGATTTTATTAATGTGATGACGTATGACTTCCACGGCTCCTGGGAGAGTTCCACAGGACATAACAGCCCTTTGTACAAATGGATCAATGATAGAGAGGCCAGTGCTTACTCTAATACTGTGAGTTGATTGGAATTCCATTTTGCTGAATGCAAATTTCTTTTCTCTTAACATTTGAAATGTTTTATATGTCCAATTTAAGTGCAGCCAATTTCCATGTGCTTTATCAATTAAGGCATTAAAACGCAGTTTGTTTGTTTGTTTTTCTATTTGGGCTAAAGTGAAAAAATAGCAGCGGGGCCAAGACCAAGGCATATGTTTGCCTCAAACAAACTCCAATCTAAAAAAAAAAAAAAATTGTAGTTCATGTGACCACTATCTTACAAATCTTTGTATAATCACCAGTTTTGTATTACAAGAGTCCCTCGCTACTTTGTGGTTCGACTTTCACCGACTTGTTCTTTCATGACACAATTGACTGATTGATGGATGAGCCACACGATCGGCATGGATTGTTTATTTAAAATAATATATTTTAAATGATTTAGCACCTGCTGCACCTGCGTGCAGTGCACAGCTGCAGGGAAAAGCTCCCTCCTGCATTTCTGCTCCGTGCTGCAGCAGATTTGTGAAGGGTTAACACTTTACCGTCCAGCTGCACTGATCGACTTTTGTCTTCTAACTTAAAATTCAAGTACCGTAGTCCCTCGCTACTTCCCGGTTCATTTATCACGGACTCGCTTTGTCATGGTTTTTCAAAATAAGATTGGACATGACATACAATTGGCTGATTGATGGATGAGCCGCACGTTTGGCATGGAATTTTTATTTTAAATAAATTATCATAACACCTGCTGCACCTTTGTGCAGCCCATATTGCAGGACAAACTTCCTGCTGCAGCTGATCAGCTGTTCTCATGCAGAGCTGAGAAGTGGGCGTGGCCAAGAGCACTTGCAGGTGGCAAAGAGCAGAGGAGGCAGGGAGCTGAAATCATGACATTCTGTGTGCCCTTTTAAAGTTTAGAAACATTGTTTAGAATATGGCAAGAGTGTGGGAAGGGTTTATATATATATATATATATATATATATATATATATATATATATATATATATATATATATATATATATATATACACACACTACAATAAACTACTACTTACTACTTGTACTACTATTCTTACTTCACGGTTTTTCACTTATCGCAGGGCTTCAGAGTACGGATTTCCTAACATTGTCTAATTCTTTGTTTTTACATTTCAGGATTTTGCTATGAGGTACTGGAGAGACAATGGAACACCAGTTGAAAAGCTAAATTTGGGCCTGGCAACATATGGACGAACGTTTAAGCTCTCCTCTCAGTTTAGTGGTGTTGGTGCAGCAGCCAGTGGCTCTGCTCCTGGAGGTACTTTCACACAGGAGGCCGGGTTCTTGTCCTATTATGAGGTGAATGGCCAATCTTGGAATTGTTAAACAGCAATTTTATAATGTGAATGCTGTCTTAGCTGCGTATTATTGTTTAGCTGTTTTTGTCCCTGTATGCTTTTTGTAATTTTAATCCTTCTGCAAAAATTGTGTTATTTTAGCCATTTAGGAGCCAGGTGATGTGACTTTTAATCATTTTTCTACTGAAAATATTTAACTTTATTTACAAAAACAAAATTGCATTGAAATTGATCAATTCTTGGTCCTATTCTTCAGATAGTCTTTTGTTTCTTTTTGCTAGCCTTTCTCCATGATCTTTAAGATAGCATTTTGCTTCTTTTACCTTTTTAAGTAGTGTTCTTAGGTTTTAGCTTGTTCTGCTTCTGTTAACTTTAACAGTTTTAGCTTCCTCAGCAAAGACATTGAACACTCAGAAAATGCATTTTATCAAGTGCCATTTATATTTTTTAGCTAACATTTTTACATTTGTTACTGGCATTTTACTCATTTTGAATATAGCTTTTGCTGCTTTAGCTAGTGTTTTGCTACATTTAAGTAGCCCTTTTGGCTTTTAACTAGCATTTGGCTTCTTTTAGCTAGTGTTCTGCTTTTTCTGCTTTAACTCTACCAATGTTGCTTCTTTTAGCATTTTTCAATCAGTGTTAACATTGCATGTTGCAATAAATAAATAAATAAATAAATTTGCTGGTTGAATTTGAGAATCTTATGACCACAAGATAACAAAAACAAAGTTAAATATTATACAATTAAGTGATTCTCACAATATTTTACTGAAACAGATCAAATGTAAGATGTCATGTTTGTTTGTTTTTCTCAGATTTGCACTTTTCTTCGAGAGGCCACGGTCCAGCTGATTGAGGATCAGAAGGTGCCATATGCCACAAAGCAAAATGAGTGGGTTGGATATGACAACAAAGAAAGTTTTACTACCAAGGTCGTCATGTCTTTCTTCAACATGTGCTTTTCATCAGTCGTTTTACATAAAGGTATACAGCAAATGTTGATGAAGGGGTTTTATCGTTCTTCATTCAGGTCAGGTACATAAAAGAGAACCGATTTGGAGGAGCTTTTGTCTGGACCCTGGATCTTGATGACTTTAGTGGACAGTTCTGTGGAGATGGGAACTACACCCTCATCAGGCACCTTCGCTCCCTTCTGGTTTCAGGTTAGTTAGCATTCATACAATCTACAATATGTTTGGTCAAGATAAATCCACTTTTACCCTTAGCAAGTTAAATTAATCTAATAAATACTTCTCCAGATTGTTCTCATCTCCCTACAACTCCAACCAATCAAAACCAAGTGACACTATCTCCAGCTGATGGACAGCCCACCAAACCTCCTCCCAGACCAATGCCCACGGCTTCATCCAAAACCCCTGAAAGTTTTTGTGCAACAAAGAAAGATGGGCTTCATCCTAAACCTGATAATCCGGGTTCTTTCTACAACTGCGCTAATGGCATCACTTGGGTCCTAAACTGCCCAGATGGTTTATTGTTTCGAGACAGCTGCAAGTGCTGCGACTGGCCTTTATAACTTTTGTCATTGTCCACCGAAGAAGAGTGGCTTTACCTGTGTTACTATGCTCGTGTTTTTATCTGTACTGTTAGCAAAATATTTCCTGAACCAGTGAACGTCAATGCAACCATTAGAAACTAACCATTGGATGTGCATCTGCAACTGATTTAACTTTTGGAATCAACTCCATTATCAGTTCAGTTCAGTATGTTTATACAGCACCAAACCACAACAGAAGTCATCTCGGGGAACACTCGTATATAAAAATAACAATTGAACACTTTTTATCTGAGGAGCAGTCTGCTTTGGATTTAACTCCATGACAGAACCCTCATGACAGAAACAGCTAAGCAACTTCAGCAAACACAAAGCTATGACTCAGCCACTTGTACAAATCACTGAGCTAAAATTTGACGTGGTAGTGGCTGGGAGTGATCCCAAACTCTTCCTCTGAGCTCTGACTGATTGCATAAGAAATGTTTTTACAACGTTTCCATTAACGACCAGTCAACCCTGCCCGGTTTTAGCAAAACTGCTCATACACCAATTTTTTTCAATCCGATTCAAAAAGGCACCACAGTTAATCTAGCAACACAAAAATGGCTTTAAAACAGACAATTGTATTATTATTATTATTATTATTATTATTATTAAGCCTTTATTTTACCAGGAAGAAACCCATTGAGATCATCAGTCTCTTTTACAATGATGTCCTGGGAATTTTACTGATATTAAGCTAAAAGTTTGATGTGATAGTAGCTGAGCATCCCTAACAAAGTACTACACATTGTGCAGTTGTTTTTGCTTCAAACTCTAACATTAACTGTTGCCATCAGTCCTGTCTGTTAGGTTCACGAGTGGCTTGACAAATTTTAACCATCCTCTCAGAAAGTAATCATTGTAGGTACATCTACAACAGATTAACTTTTTAGTCCCCGTCATTAAAAATGACCACTACAGTTCATCATTCCTAACTCAAAAAAGGCTATATCTCACTTTGACAGAAACTGAGCACACATTTGATGTGGTAGTAGCTGGATATCAACATACTTGAAGCACCTAAAATTCTCTCACAGTATCACAAGATTAAAAGTTTTAATCCAAAAATATCAGAACTCGGTTCTTTCTAATCAAATGAGTTCAGTTTCAGATTTCATTTTTACCAAATCTCTGATCTGAATCTAACATCCAAATATTTTAAGGTGGTTTTCCTTCATTTCTTGATTATGCTTCTACACAATAATAAAAAAGTGACCTGTAAACTTTTTCACTTGTGTTGCTCACCTCTGAGCAATAGTCCATTAAAAATTAAACTATTGTATCTGGTTAGAAAATGCTGTATCCGCTTGTTTTCTGGTCACAATTGGTCAGAAATAACACCTGATCTCTTTATTTATGCAATTAGCCAAACAAAAACACTTTTTTTTAAAGAAGGCATTGTATTAGGTAAAAGCTTTTACATTAGCTGAAAACATGTTTATTAATTTTCTGTAGGCCTGAAAATTATTAACAAAAAAATTTACTATACAACTTGTTTTTCTGCATGTTCTTTATTGGTCCAATATTGTTTTCACAAGAGTTTTAAGCTCAAAAACATGATTTCCTATTATTTAAAATATCATGTTTAGCAGCATTTGAATGTGTTATCACAGAAAAGTTTTTTTTTTTTTTTTTGAATGAACATTTCTGAAGCGACTGTCACTGAAGCAGGACTTGACATTTCTTTATCGTGGCAGGAGGGTCACTCTCCAATTGAAAGGTTTGATTCCCATCCCCTGCTGCATGCCAAAGTGTCCTTGAGCAGGATGCTGTACTCGTTCCTGCCCTAATGCTATGACTTTTAAATCAGTTCAAGAAAATCCTAAATTATTGTAAAGAGTGGACAGTCAAAGATAAGGTTTTCCAGACATTTTTCCATTAACACACAACATATGTGAATTTAGTGCAAAAATACTGTAATATACAATATACTGGATAAGGATGCAGTTTGTTTTTAGTGGGGTGTCATGGAGTCAGCAGTCAACAGGTGAGAGTTGGGATACACCTGAACAGGTCACCAGTGCATCGTCAATTACTCCAACATGAATGTTTTTAAATTGTGGGAGGAAACCGGAGTACAGCAGTCCCTCGCTACTTCGCGGTTCAACTTTTGCAGACTCGCTCTTTCAGTTTTTCAAAGTAAGATTATACACAAGAAAAAAGATAGTACACGACACAAGATTGTCAACTTTAATATTACTTATGTGATTGGGACAGTACAGGATAAAGTAAAACGTTAACAGGGAAAAGAAAAAACTTTGGACAGGTGCTGCCATTTTGTAGTTTTCTCTCAATAAGCCTAGACTGTATAGCCACTCAAAAGGACTACATTACCCAGAAGCCTACAGTACTTCCAGCCATGGAGAAATGGAGGGAAAGTTTTGATTTGATCTAAAAAAAAAAAAAAAGTCTGGTCCTTATTCATAGTGACTTCAGTGCCCAGTAGATGCAGAGAGCCGCACGGAACCGACCGGGAACTGGACCTCCAGACTCATCGGTCAATCTAAGTGTCGCCCACCAGCCCACAAGTGGGGAGCGCTGCCCGGAGGTCCGGCGTCCTCTCCGGAGCCCACCGTGACTTCCCCCATCCAGATTTGGACTCAGTCGGGACCACCATCTGGTCCTGTGCTGGCCCGAAGGTCCGGCTCCCTCCAAAAGCGCTTTGGTGCTCAAGGGCTGCAGAGAGCCGACCAGAACCGGACCAAGACCAGCAGGGTAGGTCCAGCTGGGTACGACTGCCAAACTGGAACCAAGCTGGACTGGAACCGAGCCGTTGTGTTCTGCATAGCTGGTGAGTAAAAGTTTCCCTGTGATAAACGAGGGACTACTGTACCAAGAGAAAACCCACACACGCAGGAGAACATGCTAACTCTGCACAGGTGAGTCGAACTTCGGAGCTGCTTTGTTCAGCAAGAGGGCTAACCAAAATATCACTAACACATATAGAAATCAATGTAAACAAAAAAAAAGCATCCTCACATTCTCAAAAACTACTGTACCAGTGTATAGCACCACACCAAATCTTTTATTTAAAGCTCTTGGCATGGCTGATTCAACATTCTTTTATAGCGTCAGAGTTCCTCTGTGATGATCAAACTGCATCACTTGTCTCGAGCGAAGGCTCTGCCAAACGATACTGTTTAGATTTGAAGTGCGACTTCATTTATTTTGCTTTAAGAATCGTAAATGCAACTAATTCAAGTTAACTCTGCTGTAGTGAAGCAGCATCAGGCTACAGTAAACACAGAGCGTTTAACAAAACCGCTGCTTCCTTAGAGTTCATGCACAGAGCTGTGCGGCTCAGGGAGCTTCTGAATGTCACAGTTCTGCATCAGATTAAAAAAATACACAACAGTCTCCTCATAGTTCTTTTTGGAAATTCTTTCGTTTATGCCATGGAACCTAAAAAAAAAAAAAAAAAAAGAAAAAACTTTTGTTTGTGATGTTCAGTAATACTTTTTCTTTAATTGATTTACCCTAGTCTTTCTTGCTAAATAAAAACTATGAGTTACTAAAGGTGAAATACGAGTTGTATACTGTCTGTAAAATTATCCCAACTGGATTGGATAAATTAGAACTTTAAAACTTGAAAGAACAAGAACGAAAATCTTTGACCTAATCACATGACTGACTGAAACAAGGTCTCTCTTGTTCAAACAGCTGCCTCTTGAGTAAAGGTCAGTTTGTACAGCTACAAGAGGGTTATCTTTATGACGACAGAAGGTTTTGTAGAAAGTATCTTACCTCCGAACATCATCTGGTTTAAACCAGACAGGAGCAAAGCGATAAATATCATTGGTCAGGTCTTTAAAGTGCCGACTGTCTGTGTTCCCGATACAGATACCTGCACGGGTAAAGATTATGTCAGATCTCTTTAGCAAATAGTTCCAAACAATTTGACCTGGATAATCCAGATGTTTACTATTAAAAATATGAGGCTTCTACCTGGAGCAACTGTAACTGATGGAAACATGTCCAACACTGTTTTCTTAATGATCTGAAAGCCAAAAGACTTCTCATCAGAAGAGCTGACAGGCAGAGGATCGAATCCATCAATGAGCTCCATCTTCACCCGTGGGTCCCCCACAGTTTCCCGGATAAGTTCTAGGACCTGGATGAGACCACACAAATCCCATTTAACTCAGTCGTGTTTATAGTTTTTTCTAAAACGAACGAACAAACAAAAAAAATCTCTGATGCTACCTCTTGTAATGATTGTGCCGAGTGGATTCGTAGATTGACATAAGCTTCAGCTAGCGCCGGAATGATGTTCACCTGAAAAATAACAGTCTTAATATAAAATAAACATCTGTACCTGAAATATCTGCTGTTTTAGATATATATTTTTTTTTTTTTTACCTTAACTCCTGCATTAAACATGGTTACTGCCGTGGTTGTTCTAACAAAAGCGTTAGTGTCTGGTTTTCTTTCAAGTAATCTGCAGTAAAACAGAAAATACACCAACTGCTTCATTTCAGAGCCAAAACAAGACGATGATAAAAATGTTGATTCAAACGTACAGCATGATTACCTGCCTAAGACTGGGGAGAACAGCCATAAGTTTGAGAAAACAAACTTCAATGGGAACTTAAACTGGGTTGAAAAACATAAGCAACTGTATGAGAACATGGCGAGATAAAGAAAGCATAACGTTTTCACGAGCTTGAATCTTACCTTATGAGCTAAATGTTCAAAGGTTTCCCGTTCTGGCCCATAACCAAATAACCTTGGCATGGGGTTCTCCTCAAGCCTGTGGATATAGTGTGAATGAGTCTTTTTGTAAACGTGTGCCAGCACTTTAATAATGTCACAAAATAGCAGGAAGGAGCCTTAAATAATCAAAGTAAAGATTGGGACGGTAAAAGTGCAGAAGATGAAGAATTGCACCTTTTTACTGCCGAAGCCAAAATCCCAATGCTCGACTCTCTGGGAGGAATGGAGGAGTGACCAGGAGCCAAAGACACGCTGAGCTTCACATTGGCTGAGCCCTTCTCACTGAGCCCAATTCTGAAAAACATTTACACTCAAAATACAGAAATTCAATAATCATGTACAGTATTTTTCGGACTATAAGGCGTACTTAAAATCCTTTAATTTTCTCAAAAATCGACAGTGAGCCTTATAATCCGGTGCACCGTATGCATCAATTCTGGTTGTGCTTACTGACCTCGAACCAATTTTATGTGGTTATTGTGGATGAGTTGAATGAAGTTTGACTTATCCGTTTGGTTTCGCTTAATGCACCTTATAATCTGGTGCGCTTTGTAGTCCGAAAAATACGATATATACGTTTTTCTTTGTAGAAACAGCACTGAAGCATTGATGCATACTTATGTGCTTTATAAAAAATATATACATTTATATCCTGTATCTCGTTGCAAAGCTCTGAAATAACATGTGCAAACAATACATGAAAATGTGCGACCCAATAAGGGGTGATTCAGTTTTCAACATTTTCACAAACTGTATGCTGGGGGGAGGGAGTCGATGTTTGGTGTACGCTTTTCAAAAAGAGAAATGTTGATGGGTTTTGCCCCTCTCTGTCTCAAAGCGCTCAGAGATCCCCGCTGCACTCAGACACTCAAAACAAACCATGCATGCGCACAGCAGACACTGATCCTGCTGCTGCTGACATAACTCCCCGGGACTTTTGTATCTAAAATCTAACTTTGTATTAAAAGTGAATGTGTTGTGAGCATCGTCATCATGGTACAGACATGTACAACTTGTGCGTGTGACCAACCTCCTGATTCTCTCTCTCTCTCGTCACAGGAGCATGCAGCCTGTGTCTCTGTAAGACTCGTCTTTTTCTGCTTTACTTCTTATATTTAAACAATATTAACACTAAAAGATGAATATTTGTAGGTCCCAGACTGAAGCAAAGATGTGCGTCTCTGTTTAACTTTATCTTATTTTCCCACAAAGTTCTCATTGAGTCAGTTTCAGCTGTTTATAGTTAAATGATAATATTAAATCGGTGCATCTGTATCAGTGCGTTTAAACAATTTAGAGACGTGTACAAATGTGGAAAAACAGTAATTGTACCTTAGTACTAGCATCCTATAGCTACTGAGTGAAATGCAAAGGATGCTGGGTAGCCTTGCAGGAATTATGTGTGCAATGTTATGAATGTTTACAATGTTTAGGAGTGTGGAAATGGGTTGTTCTTGTTAATGTCCTGTTCAGATTTGCTTTGGCATTTATGTTCAAGTCTCTGTTACTGGCTGTAAACTGACACCATGAGTCAAAAGTTGTTCCCAGTATGTATATGCCTTTTATAAAGCCTTTCCTGTTGCTGGGCGAAAGTGTGCATCAACAATAACATCACACAAAATTAACTCTGTTGTGATTTTACTGCTAGCGCTTGAGGGTTGCCACTAGAGCCTGACCGATATATCAGTAGGGCCAATATTTTAGGCTGATATAGGCGTTTTGGTGTCCCATTGTGCACCAATATAAACACTTATAATTTTCCACCCCTAAAATACTGGGGAGCAGCTGTAATTTACAATGTATCCAGCAGAGTGCGCATAAAGACTACTTGCAAGTCATGGCCTTAAGTTTCACTTTTGACGTTCAGCACAGATGAAGCAGGGAGCAATACTGTGTGCATATTTTGCTGAACAGAGCATGGTCATTTTATTTTACCTGATCTGTAAAATCAAATAAAAAACAACAATAAATGTTCTTGAATCCTCCGACCCACTTGTCATTAACTACTTAACTTCCGCTCTTTGTTTCTGTCTTCCTCCAATTAACTTGGTAGTTGGGGAGTAACAGAAACAGGTGTGGTGTTACCATGGTGACCATACTAAGCCATTGGCAGCAGCTTTAACATTTAATTTAGGTTTTCTTTACACTTCGTATATATTTTATACCACAAAATGTAGACATACTTTCCTAGTTAAGATCATTTTAAAAAAATTATGTTGAAATTTTGGGCAGCAGCTGCAAAGGCGCCTTTCAGAATTTGTGCAAAAATCTTCCAGTTTTAAATAATGCTGTCAGGCTCAGATAGTGTTCACGTATTTACAGCACAAAGGATGCAAACTAAGTATATTTGGTTAAAAAAAATATTAGAGTACAAGTGTTTCTCACATAGCAGCAGGTCCTTCAAGACCATTAATGATCCCATCGAGTATGCCCGTGCCTTCATCCAGGACAAACGACAGCTTCACACCACGTTGCTTCAGCAAGCGCACAATGTTCATCGCCCCGTTGAAGCCCCTGGCCTTTAAAAGAAATATCAAAGAGCTCAGACAAACAAAGCTGAAGGTCTTCAATCGCTAAGTAAACAACATGAGTTTTATGTATGTTAAAAATACTTCTTCATCATGACCCAAACCAATGTAAAATGCCCTGCGTGGAGTGTAGCCTTTCAGCAGCAAGTACTCCAGGGCTTGAAGTATGGCCTAGGAGGAAAAAACAGTTTATTTAGACACACAAAAATAACTGTTCAGTAATACACTAACATTACAAGTTCTCCTACCATTACACTGTACTTATCATCTATGGTTCCTCTACCATAAATGAAGCCATCTATCTCTTTGGCAGAAAAAGGGGGGGCCTCCCAGCCATCTGACTCAGCTGCAGGTACTACATCAATGTGGGCCAGCAGCATGTATGGCACCAAGTCGGGCTGTGATCCCACCACCGAAAACAGGTGGCTGTAATTAGCCACCACTTCATGATGAACCAAGCTCGAAGAGAAAACTGTCGGGAAGGCTGACAAAGAAAAACACCACTTTCAGTTCCACTGGTTAAGCTTCTAGTGCCTATAAAATATTACTTTAGTTATTTTAAAACAGAAGTTTGTTAAAAACAGTGGTGCTAAACGTGTGTCTTCTACAATCACCAAAACCACAGATCATGTAGATCGTCAAAGGTTTATAGAAATCTAAAAAGAGGATTTCTCGAAACATTGCACATAGTCCAACACTTTCATGCCAAAGTGTTATTGTGCGATCTGTTTGCACTACTACTACATTTGTCAGACATCACATATCCAGCCAGCAGTGAAAGGCACATCTAACCAAAAAGGTAGCTTTGCTAACTGCTGATGCGCTAACTAAAAAAATAGTTTCGCTAACACTAAACTTTGTTGCTAAAGCGCTACATTTTATCATACCCTGCTGCCGCTGACACTGTAAGATTGTCTGTAATGTGACAACGTTGTAAGTGAACACAACTCAAAATGGTTCATAAATCACAAGTAAAGCGTCTATGTCATGCTTAGAGGTGAGCTTTCAGGAATTAATCCGGTCCATCAGAACCGAAGAGGCAGAGCAGAACTCTGCAGTGCTGAAGCAGAGTGATGCATTCATTGTGTGTGGGACGTCTCCCCTCGACCTCGTGTCATTTACTACAATGAATTAACTCACTTTGGTGATCCTCTTTGTGGTTAACTACTTTTATAAAATAACTACAAAAGTTGCTGAGCGTCACCATCAATATTCTCTCATTAACATGAACAACCATTAATGAATTAGCAGTTAGCAGAGCTAATTGTTTGCATAGCTGTGCCCATCACTGTTCGAGTGTTGTCACTGTGTGAGAGTAAATGCCATGCATAAATTTGACATTAGACATAGTCCAAGTTGAAGTGTTGCATCATTGTCAGCCCCCTTTTAGGCATCTGTATTTGGTAGCAGGCCAAATTAACAAAGACCATTCAGAATAATGTAGTATTTTAATTCCACTTCAGAGAAAGCTATGTAGTCTCTGTAAGTAGGTCTAGGGGGAACAAAATAGCAGCATTGGTATCGGTTATCGGCCAAATAAGTTTTAACATATCGGCCCAAAATCCAATATCGTGCATCCCTACTTTTAATTATTAATTCTCGTTCTTCTAGCCCTCTTCGAATAATTTTTTTTTCCCTGAGTTCATTTGTAAAAAAAAATGGCATGTTGCAAAACTGAGAAAACTTTGTTTTGATTACATCTTTGATTAGGAAACGCCTTGTGACTGCGACTTTCCTTCCCTCCAACGATTACAGTGACATTATTTACATGAATGCTCCTACAAGAACCCTGCAGATGTTGGATGTGTCTATCATGGTGTACTAAGAGTCATAACTGGCTGTAATTACAGTACCCACCATTACACCCTGTATTTACTGGTTATCTGGTCATCATGAACTTCACACAGACTCTCTCACTGGTACATTTTCATCTTTAAATCACTTCTTGGTCTGCTGCCTTCATACATCTCCTCCTACATGTCTCTGCGTGAGTGCAGCTACAGCGTGCGCTCTCAGGACATTATTACCTGCAGTGTTCCCTCAGTGAGGACTGAACTTGGAAAAAGGGCCTTCTCCTACTCTGCTCCTGTTTCCTGGAATATCTTACAAAATGATCTGAAGCTCTCCACTTTGACCTCTCTAAGTGGCTTTAAACATCAATTACTGGTAAGTTCCTGGGAAAAACCGAAGCAGACATGTTCTTGTTTTTAGTTTTCTACATCGTCTTACAACCTAGCTGTTTTTTTAATTACATTTTCTTTGAAATACCATTTTATTTTCACTTGTTTAAAAAACCCTCAATTTGTATGCATCCTTTATGATCGTCTATTGTTGTCATCACTCTTTGTTCACATCAGGTGTCTCTTGTAAATGAGTCCCCGAGGCTCAATGGGATAAATAAAGGTTGAATGAATGAAAACTCTTAACATTGCCAATAAATCCCAAGAAAACAAGTAAGGTGTTACAACACTGTATATTTTATCTTTAGAAATTTGAACTTTGTGTACAGAATGAACAAAATAGGTGAAATATTAAGTTATTTTAAATCCGAAGGCTTGGTCTCATACCTAAAATTTAAATAGAGAAAGGGAAAAAAAGTCTCACAATTCTTAATAGGGCTTGTCTAAAAAAATTATTTATATTTTCTGACAACAATATCACAAGTCTGCTAAGAAAGTAGGCTAAGATGGGGCTGCAGTTTGTAAATTTAGTTAGTTTTACAAAAATATTTAAGAAAAAATACTAAATCAAATATGTAATATTTTTAATATATGATTATTATTTGCCTTGACTATGCCTGCTGCTATTGACACTCTTATAATGAAACTAAATCTAATAAAACAAGGAGGTGATGCTAATAAAAACACTAACCCTTGGGGTTAGCTGTTAGCTTAGCGGCTAACATATCGCGTTAAGTGGGGACACTTGTCATCGGTTCGTTAGCAAGAAGTGTCGTGAAGTGGTTCCGAGTGCTTCACTGACAGGTGCAGCACTTTATCTGCTGCTGGTAGCTGATATAAGTTTACCTTTACGGAGGAAAATGTCAAATTCACGCAGCGCGGTGATGTTGCTCTCCGTCTGTGAGAACGTGACTGTCGGGATCCTGATTGCCTCTTTAACAGAAACAGTCCGGGTTAAATATACAGCAGTTCTATTCATATATACCGGGTTAGCTTCCTGGCTAAAATTACCTTTTAAACGTGCTAAAAGGTCCTCTCTCTGTTGTTGGTTTATGACAAGCGAGATGTTGTTCGTCTTCTCCCAGTGAGCGAGCTGGAGTCCCACATTGACGTCCAGTGAGATGGTCCTGATCGATGCTACAGTAAACAGGGCTAACGCTGCTAGCAGCACGAAGCTAACGACCACTTTTACTAACTTCACGAGTTTAACCCGAGACTCTGCCATTGTTGAGCAGCGTCTTGCGACTGCAGCTCTCTGACTGAAAACTTTGTGCAGCTCTGGTGTTTACAGTTGTAAATCCAGGTCCACCTGCTGGACTGCAAAAGAAAAATCAGGTGGTGCATGCAGGGACGCCACTAAAGGGGGGGCCAGAGGGGGCGATGGACACACCTTTTATCTGCTTTGGTGCCAAGCTTTTGCTATTCGGGATTAGTAGACCCTTATAAATAAATAAATACATTGTTTTGAGCAATTAGGTGTTTAAAATATATACATTTAATTTTAAATTAGAAATAAAGTGGGGCAGCACGGTGGCGCAGTTGGTAGAGCGGCCGCCTCTCAGCGAGGAGGTAGGCAAATTGAATCCCGGCCGGGGGTGCATTCTGTGTGGAGTTTGTATGTTCTTGTGACAAAAAAGTCCATGCTCAATAATCCAGATATACAATTCAACATTTTTCAGTGATCTGTCCAGGGTGTCTCCTGCTTCTCACACAGTGATGGTTGGAGGTGGGCACCGTGACCCAAAAAGAAAGAAGCGGGTAAAAGATAAAGAATGGATGGATAAAACAAAGTTTAGTCCCACAGAGTAAACTAGAGTCCTCAATATTAGGATGCAGGGTCTCAGCAGGTTACTTGTATAAAACTGTATTGTAAATATCCTGATGCATGCTCAATAATATGTAATATGTATGTATTGTATTGTATGTATGTATGTATTGTATGTAGTATGTGTAATATGTATTGTAAATATACGTTTTGGAGGAGACAAGCATCAACATATTAAGTGTTTTTCTGAAACTAGTATAGACCAAAAGAGCAAAATAATAATAAGGGCTATAGTAAAATGTACTCGGTTCATGATTGTGCTTTTTTGTTTTATTCATTCCCAGTTTTGACATTTATATATTTTATTCACAAAAGTACACTGCAACAAGTAAATACAATTGTTTAATTAGAAGTGGTTTTAAACTTTAAAATAATTGCTTCTAGTAATGTTTTCTTTAATCCCTTCAAAATTAAACATGTACGTTTGACTTTATAGCAAAAATGACAAAAAGCCTATTGTAAGAATATTTAACAGCATTACATTTGTATTTTAAAGACACATCACATTAAAACTTGACTGTTGTTGAATTCCAAATGTAATTTGTTCTGGTCTCAGTATATCATACCAGTAAAATTATCTGTAATAAACACAAAGTTTGTTTTCTCAGTCATCCAGGTATATAACAACAAAAAAGGTTGAATCATGTCATCTGGACTTCGTTTTTTTGTTAAAAAGAAACGTTTCGCCTCTCATCCAAGAGGCTTCGTCAGTCTGAGGCCTAGCCATCTGGTATTACCCAGAAGCCACCCTGACCGGATGAGGGGCGAAACGTTTCTTTTTAACAAAAAAAACGAAGTCCAGATGACATGATTCAACCTTTTTTGTTGTTATATACCTGGATGACTGAGAAAACAAACTTTGTGTTTTTGAAACCATTAGTGAAAAGGCCAGACTTCAGGGGTATCTGAGGCAGGCTTGAAACACAAGAGTCAGGGTGGCTTCTGGGTAATACCAGATGGCTAGGCCTCAGACTGACGAAGCCTCTTGGATGAGGGGCGAAACGTTTCTTTTTAACCAAAAAACAAAGTCCAGATGACATGATTCAACCTTTTTTGTTATCTGTAATAAAGAAACTGGTTCCTCGGGTTTCATTTTGCTAAAGTTTTCAAATCACCATTTGGTTTTTGCGCTCCACCTCTGGACTTTCGGTGACTCACTTAACTTTTCTGTAGGCACCACTGGTAGAAAAGTTCTCAAACTTACTTAGTTATTTGCTATTGGATTTTTTTCTTTTTGAAGATGAAACTTATGCAATTTAAATTAAAAAAAAAAAAAAGACTAAAATAACTAAATGTCACATCCTACTTTATTTTTCAATATTTGAAATTCTCTGTTTTTTTACGTTTATGTTAAGATACCGGTAGGTTAGATTACACTGTGTTGTAAAAACAAACCCAATACAAATAGTTTAAAGCAATTTTAGTCAACTACATGGATAAAAGTTGCTTTGTTGCTTGACACACAACCCACATTGACAAAGTCTGAAGCAAATTGTCCTTTATTTCAACAAGTACAAATACATATAAAAACATAAGTACAGTGAAACAGATTCAAGGTACCAAAATTACAGACTATTAAAAGACTCAAATGTGTAGTTTAGTTCCAAATGTGTTTTTAAGCAATGTCATACAGTGAAAATGTAACATTTTCTTGTCTAATGGCATTGTTACCTTATACGTCCTCAGAAAGGCCCATTGAAACTTGCACTGCCAAATAATCATGCTCACTTTAAGTCTCCATAAAGGTTTATATAAAACTTAATCCTGTTCAAAGACTGCAACTCTAACCATCTGACCACTGGTTTAGACTCTCCAACATGGCCAAAACAGGGCAGCTGGGCTCCACATTAACATAAATGAGGTAGAGGATGCCCATCACAATGAAGAAGACCAAAATCTGAATCCAGTAAGGAACAAGACGGCGCTGGACGTCTCGTCTCTCCTGGACAGTTACAGGACTGACAGGAGTGTCGGGGTACGAGTACTGGATGGGTCTCTGAGCTGCACCTTTGATGGGTCTTCGAGGGGTGGCACTGAAATTCAACAGAGAAAAAAAAAACAGAGTAACTTCATGTAGTTTTGCTGTATTTCACAAGAAGAAACATTTCAAACTGTTTTGTGGACCTGATGCATATCAGATGTGACGAGCCTCCACTTTGCGTGTTGCAACACTTACTAAATCCCAGTCGGAGAGGCCTTAGTGTTTGGGAAGATGTCCTTTAAAATCTCAGCCACTGGTTCCCGGTGAACCTAGAAAAGATGGTAAAACAATTTCTGTAAAAATAGAAGAATAGAAAAATGTTTTATGACCAGCAGAGCTGAAAAGTATGGAGAAAGTGAGGTACAGAGAAGAAGAAAAAAGTGAAACCACAAGTTCAGCTCCATATTTTGCTGGAATTTGTTGAAAAATGCTGTAAATAAAACTTCAAAGACAGATGAATTTAGTAGCATTAAATGCTTAGGCTAAAATCTAACTAGTAACTAAAACGTACAACAAATAGACCAGACTTAGTGGGTTTTCCCTTCTCAGGTGTAGAACTGTACTGTGGCTCATAGAGTTTGATGGAATAAGTCATTTGTCTTCAAGGATTTGTAACATTTTTCAAAGAAAGTTTGTTTCTAAAAGTTTTAAAAAGATAATTTTACCCAGAAAATAAAGATTTCAGGAAAATGATACTTTAAATATTTGATATACAGTAGTCCCTCGTTTATCGCAGGAGTTTCCATTCTTAGCCTCCCCACGATAAGTAAAAAACTGCAACGTAAGAATATTAGTACTAGTATGTAGTAGCTTATTTTAGTATTTTATATATATATTTTTTTAATTTATTTATTTATTTATTAAGGCGTTTTAAACCCTTCCCACACTCTTGTAATATTCCAAACAATGAATGAGAGCACAGAATATCATGATCTCTGCTCTCTCAAGAGTTGCATTTGGGTCCAAAAAAATCCAACCAGACCCGGCCCCAGCCCGTACCCATCATTTCTGAACACCACCCGACCCAACAAATTAACAGCAATTACAGAGCCGAACCGAAAAATAGCCAGACATTTTTAATTAAGCTTTGACTGCTTATATAGTTATGAACAGTCGACGGACACGCGTGGCTAAGGGGGCAGAAGATCGGAGCCGAGGGAGTGTTTGTCCTTTCATGGCTGTCAAAGCACAGTAAATCCCTGCATCTGCCTGCATCTGCATTATCCAGACACGGACCCCGCTTTGATGTCTGCGAGGATATTTTGGGATCTCTTTTCACCTGTTTGGGTCGTCGGCCACGCATGTCAGCTGAGTGCAGACTGAATGTCCATTTGGACTTTGGATGGATCGCTGGCAGTAGTCCATCTGAAGCTTAACCAATCTTTTTGTTTTTTTCTTTTTACCTGTTTCAAGGCCGGTCAGCGTGCGTTCAAATGGCTGCATGCAGCTGATTGTATGGCAAGCCATATTGCCATATAATTGGATGGTCACCCATGGGCATACGCTGACACAATCAAAAGCCCGGCCCGCACATTATTACAGCCCGGCCTGGCCCTAATCCAGGTTGGGCCAGACTGGGCTCCGGGTTAGAAATTACAGCTCTATTCTCTGCCAGCGCTCTCAGCCACGCCCACTTCTCCTGCAGAGCGGAGATCCTGACATGCTGCAGAAGGAAGCTTCTCCCTGCACTTATGGGCTGCACAAAGGTGCAGCAGGTGCTATATAGTTTAAAATAATTCATCCATTCATTATCTTTCACCCGCTTCTTCCATTTTGGGTCAAGGGGTCGCTGGTGCCCATGTCCAGCAATCACTGTTCAAGAGGCGGGGTACACCCTGGACAGGTCCCAAGTCCATCACAGGGACACAGAGTGAATGGTTGTCTCGTTTGTCTCTCTCACCTAGGGACAATTTAGAGCTACCAATCAGCCTAACATGCATGCTTTTGGTCAGTGGGAGGAAACCGGAGTACCTGGAGAAAACCCACGCATGCACAGAGAGAACATGCAAACTCCACCCAGAAAGGCCCCCAAACCGGGATTCGAACCAGCAACCTTCTTGCTGAGAGGCAGCAGCTCTAGCAGTTATGCTACTGTGCTGCCATTAAATAATTCATTTTACTTTTTTTTTTAATCCATGCTGATCATGCGGCTCATCCATCAATCAGCCAATTGTGTGTCATGTCCAATCTTACTTTGAAAACCCACGAACGAGTGAGTCCGCAAAAGTCAAACCGCGAAGTAGCGAGGGCCTACTGCATTACCAAATGTTGACATATTTCCCACAAGATTTATGAACTACTCATTTTTTTTAAAGTGTGTCCATGTATCTTTGTTAAATTATTCATGTTAGAAAGCTGGAAACACTACAATCAAAGTACAAAATAATAAATTAACTTAAAAAAGGCACAAGCTTTAAAAGGACATTAGTTTCCTATAGTTGTCTTAATAACAACATTATTATTATTATATACATTTTCTACTTTTGTTTTCCTTTTACCAGTTTTGAAATATATTAGCATTAAACTTATAAAGTGTTTGCAATGTATACCCTTCATTTTATAACCAAGTATTTTAATTACAATTTATCTTTAATGCTGTTAACTGTTGATGCATATTTGTTCAATAACAAATCCTCTGAAATACATCTTACTCCAACCTATAATTATGAGTGATGACGCCATCACTTCTGTAGCTTATTTATTCGCTAAATACGTTTTATCATAGTTTGATAACCTTTTGTACAACTGATTATTTTTTTACTTGTTTTTTTAAGCTCTAAATGTTTAGTGTTAAATGGTGGCATTAAAGCTTCACATCATTAGTCGGATGGATGTTTCACAACAACAATCCTTAAAGATGAGTGGCTCTGATATTTCAAAATAAAAGTTTCTGATCCGTCAGTAAATTGTGCCCACTTTTACAAAAAAATATGAATATGCAACATTTTTCTAAAGTTTTTCTTAAGGCCTCTCAACTTGCACAACATTGCTCAAACTACCCCCACATGCACTCATTAAGTGACACTTTTAAACTAAACAACAAAATAAGATATTCATGTCTTCATCTCCTGCAGGAATCTTTTGGAGTGTGGTACACTGACTGGTCCTCAAGTCTCTTGTCCTTACACTGCAAGTCAAGCTAAGAAAAAAAAGATCGTCTTTTTTTTATCTCAACTTCCACCCAAGTGACTCTCTCAAACATCTTAACCAGCTTTAGAGTTGACCATCAGGGGTGACGTCTACTGACCCAGTTGGACTGTGAACTCTGTTCCAGAACATTGCTGCCGTTCATCTCGTTGTCTGAGCTAGCAGAGAACGACCTCCGACTCTCCATCTGCTGTTTACATTAAGATGCGTTCAAAAACCAATCCAGCAAAAACAGTAAACCAGGGGTCTGCAACCTGCGGCTCTTTGGTCCCTCTGCAGCGGCTCTTTCAAGCTTTGACCAAAATTAAAACACTGAATTTTATCGGTTGTTATACAAGAAAATATAAAGCTGTTCTAGCAGTTTTCATATTTCAGTTTTTTGGTCATTTCTTTTGCAAATATGTAAAAAACAAGTACAAGGAGTAAAATATACTCACTAACGTTATGCTTTATTTCTTTACTTATATTTCAACAATTTAAAAAAAAAAAATCACAGGTCTGCATAGTTAATAGTTTAAAAATATATATATAATTGGTAATACATTTGTTTTATCCTTATTTACAAGAATCTATTTTTCTTTTGTTTCAAATTGCAAAATATCAATAAATGTTAAAAGTTATTTTATTATTGTTTAGCATACCGGTATATCTTAAATTCTTGAATATGGTTTCTTTTTTATACTTCACGTTTTTTGCTATTTTGGGGTGTAACTGGGACCTTGAGTACACAGTTTTGTTCCACCTCGTGTACCACATGTGATGTGAATGACTATAAAGAACCTTGAAAAATCATTAGATATCTTTAGCTCCAGAGCAGCACGGTGGCGCAAGTGGTAGAGCTGCTGGCTCTCAGCAAGCAGGTTACCCTGGTTCAAGTCCCAGTCTGGGGGCCTTTCTAGGTGGAGTTTCTATGTTCTCTCCGTGCATGCATGGGTTTGCTCCAGGTACTCCCGTTTCCTCCCACAGACCAAAAACATGCATGTTAGGCTCGTTTGCCTCCATGTGTCCCTGTGATGGACTTGCGACCTGTCCAGGGTGTCCCCCGCCTCTTGCACAGTGATGGCTGGACATGGGCACCAGTGACCCCCATGACGCAAAAAGGAAGAACCAGGTAAAAGATAAATGGATGGATGGATGAATATGTGGCTACTACTGGCCACAAACCCCCCTCCAACAAACCTAAAGCGGTCCACGGGTCACCACTTGATAATCACAGTTGATAGTTGCAGCTCTGGACACGTTTAATTTAGTGAACAAAAGGCACAAAAATGGCTCTTTTGATTGTAAAGGTTGCAGACCCCTGCAATAAACCAACATTTAAAATAAATAATATTTCTAAAAAGATGTGAATGAGTGTTTATAAGCCTTTAAGAGCTACTTTCCTCCTCAACCATTTGAGTGATGCTGAAGGTCTCAAAGGACGAGCAGCCGACTGACTGAACTCCAGATGCAACCTGCAAGGTTCAACATTCGCTTGTTAACAGCACAAACACACATCGCCCAGTCTTCACACCAGTGACGTAGCAAAGCCAATTACTGTAAAAGTTAGTTTTTTTAATCACCCAGGTGAATTAAAGGGGTGGCGAAACATTACAGTCTGAAAACAATGAATGTGGAGAAGACATTAAAAACAAGAGCAGCCTACCCCTGATCTTAATCCTGAAGATGTTTTACTAAATCCTGCAGGAATCTGTGAGCGACGAGACAGAGTCTGCCCTGATGATTTGATTGCATTCCTTGAATTCCCCTTAGAACGGGGTTCTTTGTTTCTAGGAGAACAAGGACGCTACACAAGGCCCAACAGAGAAACCTTCACATCACCTGTAACAGACTGCTGTGATTTTAAAAACCTGACATGATTACCAGCTTTGATGACACCAAAAAGCACTGCGAGTAAACAAAGTCTCCTCCTTGAGCATCCAAATCTGCCTGTTAAAAATAAAAAATAACATCAAAACGACTGAACTCGTTTCAAGTTGAACCTTATTTTAGTTGCACTTAGTCACCCCTAGGTGGCGCTTCAGCATCTGACAACCTCCTCAACACTACATTCATTGACCAGCAGAAGGTACCAGGTATGAGCTCAGTAATGCCAGAAATTGTAACAAATAGTTTGCATTAATAAAGAATAAATAAATAAATCTAAAAGTGCTTCTCACCTCTCGGCTCCCTTGCTGGCTCTCGGATGCTTCAATCATTTCTTGATCGTCTGGTTCTAAACATGAGAAGGTCAAGAACACGAAATAATATTCAAATCTTTCATTTCAGGAAAACATTTTTTGGCCGTACCCGATTCTTTGTCTTCGTGTCTTTCACGTTCTTCTTCACTGTCCGAGTACCACATGCCGTCTTCTGCTCCACCGTATCCGTCCGACTGAAGCAGTTTCTTCAACTTCCTCTCATACAAAGCTCTGGTGGAGGCTGGCAGAGACGCATTTAAATTAAATATTTTGTCCATAGGAGCAAATAAACCAATTGACTGAGAGCTCAAAATTTCTCCAACACTAAACTGCGTAGTTAAGACATGCTTCGTTAACACAAAAGCAGTCGTACCGACAATGGGTCCAGGCTTGACTCCATATTTCAGCAGCATGGCCTTCAGAGCATCATCAGTCAAATTACTCAGGTCAGACATCTTTGGGTCAGCTAGATCCTCGTCATCCTAAAAACAACCAGAGTTTGATAAAAATAAATGCTTCTTTTTTTTAAGACAAGATGTGAGACAGAGCAAAAAAAGTTTATTATGTTAAAACAGCTGAGAGTCAAACTCAAGATTTCTCAAGAATGAAAAACTAAACGTTTGAACAAAAAAGAAACCGTCCAGAGGACCTGACTTAACTTTCTTGGAATGACAGGATGAGTTTTCACACGTGCCCTGAAGTTTTTTTTTTTATCTCCATTTGAAGGGACCAAGTTTGTATAAACCCTTTTTGTAACTACAGCTCTGAGGTCATTAACCGGTAACAGTAATGTGCAACTCTGGCAGATGTTTTAAAAGTCTATAAACTGTGCTTTAACAATAAACTAAACTTCTTATGCTTAACTGAAAGGTACAATGAAATCTTATCTACAGCTCCTATTTTTTTTTTTTTATCCCTTCATAGCAAGACTAGTTAAAGCAATTTTCTTTTGATGTAGTGAAATAGACAAATATGAAAAAAGCAGTGGAAAAATCTATTTCACTTAAGACTAACAGCATTAAAAATAAAAATCTATAAACCTGATCAATAATAGCCAAGTGTTGGTCTGTTTGTAGCAGCATTTGCAAACATTCTGCTTCAGTTTTTCTGCAACACGAAGACAAGAATAACTTTCAGACTTTAAGTATGGGTGCAGCTCCTTTTACAGGCAGAAATAACAGGTGTGCATGTCTATAACATGGGCTGAGTCCAGAGACATGTAAATCTATACAGCTCAATGCAGCCCCTTCGTTTGCGTCTCAGGAGGGTTGCCAAGTTAATACAAGTAAATTAGTATCCACATGCATGGCCTGTAGTCTGTCAACCAATGGAAACATACAAAGTTGACATTATTTATTATTTTTAAAAATCAGCTTATAAACTGATCGACTCACTGCCACATCTTGAATCAGGTCGTCATCACTGGAAAACTCCGCAGCTGTTCTGTGATCACTGTGTCTCACGTGCAGCTCCACGCGAACCTCTCCACTCACTGCGGGAGGCAGCTCCAAACCGTGGGCGACTAAACCTGACCTCGGGCGGGTTTTACAGAGATGAGCAGGGTCCTCCACAAATGGCATGTCCCAGGAGCAACGCAGAGAATACAAAGCTCTCGGTCAGAGTCAGAAGCAGAGCAGAGGAACACCGCTGCCTGCTCCTGACCCACACACAGAGAACAGCTGCGAACCGACGCGTGATTGACAGCACGTAAGCTAATGCTAACCCACTTAGCTTCACTTAACTTGATTAAGCTAACTTAGCATTAGCTGGACAACATTCAGCTCTTGTCTGTAACCTTTGGCTGTTTTTTTTTTTTTAATTAAATTTTTTTTTTATATTAAACTCTAACTTACAACACCATTGCTTGTTGGGGAAAAAAGTTAAAGAAAATAAATTTAAGATTAACTTGGCTAAAATTTATAAAGCCAAATGATTAATAGCTAATCAGTTTATCAGAAAAAACAAGGCTAGTTTAGAGCTTATATATTTATATGTGTGTGTGTGTGTGTGTGTGTGTGTGTGTGTGTGTGTGTGTGTGTGTGTGTGTGTGTGTGTATATATATATATATATATATATATATATATATATATACGTATACATATGTATATTACTTTCATTCTGAGATTTTGCTTTTGGAAACTTTAATTCCTCTTTTTCTGGATGTAAATCACATTTTTTGGCTGATCGTTTCCTCTAGTATCAGATGCTGTGCAGCTGGAAGGATTTTTACTGAAACTTTTTTAGTTTTGGACATTTGTTATGATGCGTAACCATGGAAACAAGGCAGTTTTCTACAACCAACAGAAGCTGATTAACATCTCAAAAGCTCAAATAATATCTCAACACAGCACCAAATCTCAAATGAGTTGAAAGGATGTTCTGTGGACGCATTCTCATCTACCTGCCAGCTGTGCTCGAGTGTCTGACCACTGAGATCCTGGAACTAGCAGGAAACATGGCTCATGACAGCGGAAGGACAGGATCGTCCCTCGGTACCTACAGTTGGCTGTCCGTAACGATGAGGAGCTCGGCAGACTGCTGGGAGGAGCAGCATTCGCTCTGGGAGGAGTTCTGTCCGGCATTCGGGCAGTCCTACAGCCCGGGGGAACCGAAAGGCCAGCCGAGTCTGGGTGGATGGACCCGACGGCATCTGCAGACAGTTTTTTAGGATCCACTGTGAGATGGATCTTTACAAGAGATCCTTCCTGACTACAGTCATCAGTATCAATAGCATCTCTTAATGAAATGAGGATAACGATTTACTACAACAAATAATTTCCCTCTGGGATTAATAAAGTATTTTTGAATATAATTTTTTAATTGAATATATATTTGTCTCATATGTGTATATACAGTATATGTGTGTGTGTGTGTCTGTGTGTGTGAAAATATATAGATTTTCTGTGTCATAATTAAGAAATACTATCTTATAATTAGGACTCAGTATCTCAGTATTATGTCATTCTGTGTCAGAATTATGACTTATCTTGTAATTATGAGTTGCTAAGCACCACTAATAATTGTAGAGATAGTATCTTATTATCTTGATGATTTATTTCAAATTAAAATGGCAAAAATTGACTTCCATACTTATGTGTGCCATTAAGTAATACATTGTATTGTTTAAAGTTTGAGTATTTTAGGAATTATGTTTGGCTTATAACAAACAGATAATACAGAAATAGTTGGGAAGTCTTTGAGGAACACATGTATGTATTGTTAAAAGAGAAATACAGTGGTAAATGATGAACAAATCCAAGCATGAAAAGAGAGATGAGCTCTTGATGTGTTTATTGATTTATCATATTTGTGGCAAATAAATTTACATATTTTTCATTGGTATTTTTCTTTTTACACTCAGTAGCCACATCACAATGTGAAACTTGACTTGTACTTCAGGACGGAGGATGCAGTTGATCATTTATTTAAGTAAGGTATGTAAATATGATACACTGTTGATATAACTTACTTCTTGAAATTGCACTTGGAAGTCTAAACAATCTATGCTGGTGTATATACTTAGTCATCCAGAAAATATATATTAAAAAAACAACTAGATTTCTATTCTGTAGTTGAAGACGTTTCCTTCCCATCCTGTAAGGACGTACAATAGTCCTCATGAGCATACCTAAACACCAACAATTGTAAAATAAGTCCTTCTGGTGAGGTAATTTACACATTCTTCCTGCCAAGCTGAAGTCAGTGAAATAATTGTCCTCCTTCAGCCTCCAGCTGCATTCAGAGCATTGCTTTCTGTTTGCTTCGTGGTATTTCAGGTGTGCACTGCTACATTTTTACTGTAGCAGTTTGTCTGTAGAAACCGTCTGAGCAGTTTCTTTCCATCTCCTGTAAACAAATGAAGAAGAAAACAAAACTCTTTTAGGTGCTTTTTATCAATGTCATTAAGAACATCCATAAACACACAATTGACTTGTTTATCAGCAAACAAAAGAAAACATATGGAATCAATAATCAGTCAGGACAACATGTGCCTCTGATGTTTTCTGAATTCTTATTGGTGTAAAATTTGAGACATAAGATCAGCTTTAAATTAGGAAGAAAAAAAGCAGATAACTTAAAGGGATAGTTTGGAACTTTAGAAATGGGGTTCTGTGGAAAAGGTTGCGAACAATATTTCAATTGTTGTGTATAGCACTTTAAAATATTTGAATTACCACTTTAAATGAGTGCCTGTGCAAAGTTTACATACAGCAACAACTGAGCTGAAGAGCTCTTTGTGGCAGTTGTCCTACAGATTCCCTGTATTTATTTTAGAATAAATCGGACACAAAGGTATGGAGCATGTGATTCCAACCTGTTTTACTGAAATGCTGCAGAGTAAGATGGCAAATAAAAACGTATAGCAGTAAATGTAAAGGAGTGTTGCTGTGTCGTTACGTTGCCGCTCCAATTAAAATTTCAGAACTTGGTAAACTTATTTTTTTAACAATCAAAATCAGTCAGACGCTGCTACGGTCTTTTAAATACAACCACGTGTAGCCATGGCAGAAGTCCTGCAGAGGTCACTGTCACTGAGGTTTATGTAAACTTGCTTCATGCATCCTGTAAATAAGGGTTGTATGAAATGCAGTTTAGTTGTTTTCATTTATTTCTATAACTCATCATCATTTAGATATATATGTTCAAGGCAACGCGCCAAAAGTGTTATTAATGAGAAAGTTGGGATATAACTTCCTGAACATCAAAAGCAGAATTAAGTGAGAAACACACAGCCACCAGTCCAGTGTTTACGCAAAGATAAGTTTATCTTAAATGTACAATACAAAGTAAGTCGCAGGGAGAAAACACACACAGTTATTTTACAACAGGAATGTGTGTGTGTGTGCGTTTTTGTTTCAGTTTACCTTGTAGGGACCAGTTTTACAAAAAAATCATGCATTCAGAGACAACTGTTCTTTATGGGGACCATAGCCAGGTCCCCATAAGGAGAAGCCTCGTTGGGGGGTTAGGTTTAGGACTAAGGTGTGAATTGCGGATGAGTCAGAGTTAGGCTATAGAAAATGAATGGAAGCCATTGCAAAGTCCCCAAAAAGTATGTTTACAAGGACGCGCGCTTCTGTGTTTGTGTAAAAAAAAAAATCTGTTAAAAAAAATCTCCAACATATCTAAGTGTAGGGCGGCACGGTGGCTCAGTTGGTAGAGCAGTTGCCTCTCAGCGAGAAGGTTGCCAGTTCAAATCCCAGCTGGGGGACTTTCTGGGTGGAGTTTGCATGTTCTCTCTGTGCATGCGTGGGTTTTTCTGGGTGCTCCAGTTACCTCCGGCTGATTAGTAACTCTAAATTGTCCCTAGGTATGAGTGAGAGAGTGAATGGTTGTTTGTCTCTATGTGTCCCTGTGATGAACTGGAGACCAGTCCATGGTGTCCCTGCCTCTCACACAATGACTGTTGGATATGGGCACCAGTGACCCCTGCGACCCGAAAAGCAAGAAGTGGGTAAAGATGATGGATGGATGGATGGATGGATGGATGGATGGATGGATGGATGGATGGATGGATGGATGGATGGATGGATGGATGGAATTGTACAGTGTATTGTGTTTCTACAAAGGAAGATTTTTAGATCAAATTTTTGAGGTGAGGGTTTCTCACTTTTTGATAAGATCTGATATCAGTGTGGCATCGAATACCCCGGTAATCTAATCTTCATCCAGGATTATGAACTCATTATTCTCCCATTTCTCTACATGATGCTCCTTTAAAGCAAGTTTAGCTGAACCTCTGCAAGTTTAAGTTCAGCTGGACTTTGTTTTACTTACAGACGAGCAATCAGAGGATGAAATCCAGCTCAGGCTTTTCTCCCAAACAATAAATACAATCTGTATCCAGAACTGCTTGTACTTCGTAAAAAAAACAACAACAAAAAAAACAAGACATTATTTGTTTATGTATTCGATGCAATCAATTGTCACATTATTATAAATTGCTCAATTATGAATTTATCTAAGCCTTAAATGTGATGTGTTTGCATTTATCATGCACATTAACTCAGAATTTGTCATGTTTTTGTTTTGTTGTCCCCATTTCTTACGTTTCTTTTAGCTGTTGTGCTTGAGACAAACCACCACTGTAGGGTTCTACTAAAAACAAACTTTGGGCTCAACTGAACTGAATCAACCTTGTTTTTCCCATAATATCACGTTACCTTGTTGTCAGTCAGAACATCCACTCATGTACAAAACTGACTCCCTGACAAACAGATGGCTTGTTTTGTTTTTGTTTGCAGATCCTCCAGAACTGTCCAAACCTTTCAGTGGCATGCTGTTCTGCAAATGGGAACATAAAATGACGGGACAGCTGGGTTTTATGTCGCTTTGCTGAGAAATTAGATTTTCACTTGAACAGAACATCATCAGCTGGTGAGTTGCCCATGCCAACAAACTTCAGTTGGATGAACATATTGAAACCTAAGAATAATAGCATTTATTATTTTTAGCAGGTATTAAATAACTTGAAGTGATTCACTGTGAACATGTTGTGCTGGTTAGTATCTGTATTTGCTAGAGATGCACAAGATTGCGTCCAGGGGCCTTTCTGGGTGGAGTTTGCATGTTCTCTCCGTGCATGCGTGGGTTTCTCCGGGTACTCCGGTTTCCTCCCACAGACCAAAAACATGCATGTTAGGCTGATTGGTAACTCTAAATTGTCCCTAGGTGTGAGTGAGAGA